TTCTTTCTCCTCTTCTTCCTCTCTTCTCTCTCATCTCTCTCTCCTCTCCCTCTCTCTCTCTCTCTCTCTCTCTCTGTGTGTCTCTCTCTCCCCCTCTCGCTCCCTTTCTCTCTCTCTCCCTCTCACGCGCTCTCTCTCTCTCCCTCTCGCTCCCTTTCTCTCTCTCTCCCCCTCACGCGCTCTCTCTCTCGCCGGCCATAAATCACAGACACGTCTGGCAATTCCCTCAGACACGCTAGAAAGAAGATCTACGTGAAAGCAGGTCTTGACAGCCATCTGCCATCATACTGCGCTGTTAATTTTATAATGAGAGGTACAACTTCGCTCCCAGCTGTTTGAGGCAGAGAGAGAGAGAGAGAGAGATAAAGAGAGAGAGAGAGAGAGAGCGCGAGAGAGCAATAGAGACATGCGAGAGATACAGAGAGGGAGAGAGGGTGAGAGGGAGAGAGAGAGAGAGAGAGAGCGAGAGAAAGAGAGAGGGAAAGACAGCGAAAGTAAACAACAACTAGTATTTCTCAATTATATATTATACAGATAAATAATAAATACATAATACGATGCACCCGAATTCTACATAGACCATTAAAAAGATTCATTCAAACTACAAGCATAACAACCAGGGTAAAAAATACACGGGAGCGATAAGCGATTCGCTCTTCAAACCTCCCAAATCGCTCCTGTGAGGCTCAAAATAGCTCTTGTAAAATTTGTGACAAGAGCTATTTTTTCCACAGACTTGAAAAAGAGCTCCCGTGAAAAAAAAGAAATTTTTTCCCTGATAACAACCATCTCTTCACACAGAGAGCTTGTTGCAGGTGCATGCCTGCCGGCTCGTGATGTACCGCATGATCGCACTCGCAATCGAAGCCTCGGCAAATTTCTAACGAAATAGAAATTAAATGCAATTTTTTTTAGCTCGATAGACTTACGTTGAGGGTGATGAGAGCCTGGCAGAAGACCTCAGCTGCTGTCTTGCTGCAAGCAGAGCTGTCCACCACAATAGTGAAGCCCTTCCTGGCCACTTCCTTCCTGATAGGAGAAAACAGCGATCGATGCAAAATTAATACGGCACAGTAGTCTAACAGACCACACACATGCACACAGGCATATGCACACACACGCACGCACACACGCACACACGCACGCATACACGCATGCACACACACACACACACACATACACAAACAAACACATCCTTACAAATACACTGCTTCGTAAAAACTGTACTGTAGAGTGACAGGCTTCAGTTTCAAAAGCGACTGAAAGCCTCAAAACGTTTTTTCAGCCGTCTAAAATATTAATTCTCTCCGGGGAAAAATGACTAGCTCTCGCATCTCGATGCATCGTCTTGTGTTCTCAAGCTGATATCGCGTATCGGCAAAAACAACAGCAAAACTGAGCTAGTGCGAATAGTGCAATAGTCAAATAGAGCGATCACACGGATATTCCACGTTCTTTTGCAAAAATAACACGACTGCAGTTGCCTTACCTGGGTATGGTATGTAAATACATGAGCAACTTGGCAATGTTATCTGCTGTGCAACCAGAATTCTGCTTCCTGAGGTACATTACTACAAATGCGTGGCCTTTCTTGTCCCTGCGGCCTGAAACACATACAAAATACAATAAATTTACGTACAACTCTTATACTTAATCATCTGACTAGATATCAAGAAACACTGAATATGTAATAAATAAAATTTCTACATTCATACAAATTATAAGTTACATGTTATTACTACCAACTAGAATATATGCATGTACTGCCACCTGGTGGCCATTTTCTTAAATTAAGCTGCAGTAAAGAAATATTCAAACAATAGAAAGACACAGCGCACGATAGATTTACAATACAACTACTGCAGTGAATCATATCGTGTGAAACTTTATCGCAGGTAAACACACATCAGTTAATGCTGCTTATCGAATGTTTTATTAATTGACATCCCTCAGCGCCATATGTTCCCCTGATTACATCTAGCCACATGCAAGAATGAATGGGCATTCTCAGCATGAAGGCAAATTCTAACCTTGCTGCACGTACCTGGCATGACTACCATTCCAGAATGCAGCAGACCAAAGTTGACACTTATTATCTGTGTAGGGATGTTGGGTCCACAAGGACTGCATGCTTCAATACTTCTCTGTAGACCATCAACTGAAACAACCAATTTGTACTGTCAGAATGCCACTAACAAATCACAGACCAGCTGCTCATATTTTTGTACAACGTCTAATTAACTTATACTTATTATTATATAAATAGCGTTATCACTTTAGGATTCAGAAGGAGATTTTTGCTTTATTGCTTCTTACATGGATCGCATACACAGCTTGCAAATACGCAAAATCACAGCAGGTAATGTTGATCTACTCGCAACAAACTACGTAGAAAACGAAAACTTCCGTGTGTTATATTACCAGGCAGTTCTTCATCCCAGTCTTCTATTAGCATGCTGTCATGTCCCACATCTAAAGGCACTTGAAGTATTGCTAGTGGAGTATCTTGTGCTTTCTCACTTGATATAGATGTCTCTGGTGCTGCATCCTTAGATTCACATGGCATCTTGGCAAACGTCTTCACGTCAGTTTCTGAATTAACATGTTGAGCCGTGTTCTGTTGAGTTAAACACGATTCTTGTGTTACCTTCAGTTCTTTACTCTCAGTCTCATGGGATATTCCTAATTCTGCCTCAGGTTCTGAAGGCATTCCATGGTCCGATGTCAGAAGTTCTATTTCCAGTGAAATCTCTTCAGATTGTGTTGCATTTATGCATGATTTCCTATCCGATTCAGAGGATGCTGTTGCATCTATTGTTTCGGATTCTATTGCCGTTACTGATGCTGAAGATTCAGGTCTTGGACAGGTGATTGGTGCTGTTTTCTCATGGTGCGAGATCAATTCGGGCATTTGTGGTTCTGGGGTCATTTGTTGTGCTATATCTGGTGATATCGTTTCAGCTTCTGAGGATATATCTGCTGTTGTATTCATTGGTTTTGAGTACATATCTGTTTTTGTATCCAATAGTTCTGAGTACGTATCTGCTTTTGTATCCGATGGTTCTAAGTACATATCTATTTTTGAATCCAATAGTTCTGAGTACATATCTTTTGTATTCAATGGTTTTGAGCACATATCTGCTGTTGTATTCAGAGGATCTGAAGATATATCTGCTGCTGTATTCGGTGGTTCTGATGACATATCTTCTGTCGTTGTATTCACAGTTTCTGACGACACGTTTTCGGACGTATCCACAGGTTCTGCTGTAATCTCTGCTGTCGTATTCAAAGACTTTGGTGAAATCTCCACTGCTGTATCCACAGACCGTGATTGCACCTCTGATGTTAGCTCAACAGGATTTGATGACAGGGCTGCCGTGGCATTCACGGGCATTGTTGAAACATCTGCTGTAAGATTCACAGATTCCGACAAAACCTCCGCTGTATCCACAGATTGTGATGTCATCTCTGCTGCTGTATTCACAGCTTCTGACGACACTCCTGCAGTTCTATCAACAGGTTCTGAATTCACATCTGATGTTCTACTCACAGAACCTGACGTCGTCTCCGCGCTCCCATTCATGGGCTCGGAGGCCGCATCCAACGACGTATTCACAGATCGAGATGATATGTTTTCTGCTGTACTCGCACGTTCCAACGGCGCATCTGTTGTCGCGAGAGCTGCGTCGGCTGAGTTTACAGCTTCGGGAGACATCAGCTGCGCAGCGCTCTTCGGTTTTACGTAGCAGTGACCCAGCGCCGGCTTATCGTCCTTCCCTCGAACGCACGCAAACTCGCCTTTATCACCTGCCCTGCCAGGTGGCTGGCCTAGGTGGCCCGGCTGCACGGCCGCGTCGTCGGGATGATGACTCACCATGCCATCCGTGAACGCACTCGGATTTAATTTCTCCGGGGACGCCTTCGCGATGCCCGCCGAAGTTGCCGGCGGCACGTTCGAATTCACCGACGCCTCCTTTCCCGCTCCGTCGTCGGAAACTGCGACCGGCGACCGACGCGGCTCGTGATCGGGGGAATCGGACGCGGGTTTCGCACGCGGTGACTCGTGTCCCTGAGCGAGGGCGCCGACGACTGGCCGCACGCGCAGGTCTGCACGTGCTCCATGCCAGGGCGGCGCCGGCCGGGCTGGCGTGGACTCAGCTGCGGAGCTGTGCAGTGCAGCCTCCCCCGACGGCCGCTCGTCGCTCGTACGACGCGCCGGCCTAGTCCGAAAAACCCACCTCCCCGGCCGCCCCTGCTGGCCGAGATGCGCAGGTCAACGCCGCGGGGTAGCCGGCGCCACGACAGCGCCCCGCCGCGGCGCCGCCCGCTCGCCGTACTCCGGACTCCCCGCTGCGGCGCCTCTTGTTTCGGCGAGGTTCCGCCGTCCGAGGAACGGAGACTTCGCCTTCAGCTGTGACAAAAACCCGGGCCGCGCCGCCGACGGATCCTGCGCGATGTCGCTGGCAACGGCGGCGCCCCCTGGCGTCGGTGAGCGCGCCTGCTTTGCCTCGCGACCCTGGTAGCGGACGCGCTTGCGGTGCGGCCGCTTCTCGTTCTTCCTGAACTGCCCGCCAGTGGGGGCGCCACCGTTCCTCGCGGCGACGACGTCCGAGCGCAGCCGGTGGACGCAGGCGTCGTGCGCGCACGCGAGCGCGTCCCACGCCGCGCGCCGCGGTCCCGCCTCGCTCATCACGACGCAGCTCACTGGGGGGCGCTGGCCGGGCGTGTGCGCCTCCCACCACTCACGCGTGAACACGGCGTCGAAATCAACCTCGGCGACGACGATGGCGGCGCGACGGTTGCCGTCAGTGACGTAGCGCACGGTCAGCTGCGCGTCGCTCAGCCGCGCGTGCGTCACGCAGAAGCACGCTTCACCCGGTCGCAGGCAGAGGGCGCTGGCGTCGCCGACGTGGACAATGACGGCGTCGGCGGTGGCGAGCGGCCAGCAGGGATCGCTGGCGAGCTGCTTGCAATTACTCTCCTGCGAGGAAAGAGAAATGGAAATTTAGTTGTTAGTGTGTCGAAAGTCTACAGTCTGCACAGGTTTCATGCTCGTACATACCATACTCTCTTCTCGCATAGATTTGGTGCTACATTCTATACTTTCCCACTACTATTTAAATTATTAATTTTTTATAATTTATTCATTACTCTCATGTCTTATTATTTATTTACTATCCATTTCTCATGAGGAGCATTGCAAGGATGCTGCGAGGAGGGGAAGAGTAGTTTATGAACAAATGTATGAAAGTATCAGTACAAACAGTAATACGTATCCTATCATTACTACTCTAGCTTTGGAAATCACGTAATTTATGTGATTTGTTGTGCTCGGTAAAGGCACGCAGGACTACCTACGCCAAGAGCCACACAATTTTCACAGGCTCGTGATATTCTGTACTTCGTACTCTCTTCTCCGTCTACTACATTAACTTCTCTAACACCGATTGTTAAAATCAATATGTCTATTACATTAACTTCTCTAACACCGATTGTTCTGCAACGTCTGTCAAGCAACGTTTCCGCCGGTGTTCGTATAGGGCGATGTCTAGCGCATCTTGAAATGTCTTACGGCGATTCACATCGCACACAATTCTGTCGCGGCTTACACACAGCAGCTGTATCTCACTGCACGACATGGGCCCACTTATTTATACAAGCACGCGAACGGCATGCACAATGACACAAGCAAAGCTGTAAGGATCGAACGACAGACTCCACGCTGCACCGGGCAGACAGACACGATGAATCCTCCTAGGGTTAGGGTTAGGGTTAGGGTTAGGGTTAGGATTATCAATTATCAATCATTAATCATTAATCATTAATCATTATATAATGATATCAAAGTTGGGAACACTTCTAATGGAGCGTTAGCTTTAACATACTCCAACCTGTCAATCGTCAGGGAAACGCTTGCAAGAGGCGTCACACGGACAACACGTGCAAACCTGCAAACCTTGTATCGCCTACCTTTAGCCGCGTAATATTCCGATTCCTTCTCACTCCGCGAGAGACCTCCGCTTCCCCGCACCTCCTAACGCGCCTTCCTAAACCGTTACACAAACTCTGCGCGGGGTCGCCTAGCATCCCTACACCACCTTTACGAAAAAGTTCATTCTCGCAGGGAAAGGGGGTGTTGGGGTTGGGGAGGGGCTGGAATCCTAACTCACACACACACACCGCACGGAATAGACGCACCTTGCTCACCCGCAGGTGCAACTACACGTGTGCCCACCCACCTCACCCTATACATAACACCGGCGACAAGGTACGCGACGTGACGTAGGCGGTGCGCTCCTTTCACGCGTCACCTCCCCTCGCCGCTGGCACCCGCTCTCCCGCCTCTCCGTCCAGGGCCGAGGGACCATCAGTGTATATACACCGAGCGAGTTGGGCTCCAGATGCGATGATGCTAGAGCAAGAACGCTTATGAAATGCGAGCCGCACGTGATGTTTGATGTTTTTACCCGTGGGGAGAGGGAGGAAGTATAGGGAGGGAGGTGGAGGCAGGCAACCTCGCACCAGCGTTAGCAGAGTGTTGAAGCTGTATTTGTCTCGCCGCGACATCGACCAGCTTCACGGCTGATGCTGCGAACACCAGACCGCGACTGCTACAGTGATTGTACGAGCGATCGCACGCACACACCTACGACGGCGACGCACGCACACATGTGCATAGCCACGCACGCACCGTGAACACTACACGCACGATATATACATGCACGCACACACATTACACGTACACCGACGCACGTGTTCGCACGCGCGCACGTACTTACGCCGGCGCAAACGCCACGAACTTGCGTCGATGTGCTTTACAGAAACGCTTGCACGAAAACTCGGACACATAGATGTACATGACGGATGGCACCTAGCATTACGAACGCGTTCATTTTAATTCACCAACTCGTAAAATTTGTATAAAAATCACTACTTTGTTTAAACTTCTTTTTCAATCAGTTATTTATTTATTTTCTTTATTTTACAACTCTTTTTTTATTTACAACTCTTCCTGCTCCACCCCCTTTTCTATTCCCTGCGTATATAAATATATATATATATATATTTCTGAGGCACCTATCTCAAGCTGATACCCACAACTGGCCACCTCTCTATAGTTCATGAGAATAACTGACGGATTTCGATCGCTCTATTCCTTCATTATTATCATTTAACCTGTGAGTCATATTCGGCTTATTACAGTTCCTAATCATGTTCAACGCTACATAAAGTCTATAATTAAACCTATGTAATACAACGTATGCATCGGTTTGAATACTTGGTAAAAAATAAGGGCCATGCTTTAGGCCTTATTAGTGCTGTCAAAGCTAAATTGTCAACTTTTACTGGCAGTGATATATGTTTTTACTGTAAGCGCATTAATTACTGGCTCGAATTGTGGAGTAGCACGCGCCCAAACAGATTGGCGTATGTGTGCTAGCTGTCGAGAATATAAGCTTTGGACATTCACAAAAAAGAATTTATACATTATACATAACGACGTGAATCACATCCTAAAGATCCGCTTTCCTTGCGTTGGCTCCCCCGTGTAAGTATACGCGTTCTCTCTGTAACATCACTGTCGGCTGGTTTCTCTCTCAACGGACGATACTAACTGTCCTTTACGGGGCGGGATGGTGGTGTATGTTAGCCCTTCTTAAATCTCCATAAAAATTTAAATTATTACCACATGTTAGTGGAGCCGGCATACAGCAAACGAATTAATACGCGCTCTCTGTGGGTGGACAAAACTACGATTAAAATCGCGCTGCTTCTTTCCGATCGGTGCTAACGCCTCATTTGGGAGATGTTCCACTTTGATATATTAATGCATTAATTGATTTAATGATTAATTGATTAATGTTGAATGATTGATAATCCTAACCCTAACTAAATGACATTAAACCACAGAACTAATATATGACCATATTATATTATATATATATATATATATATGTTATTATGACCATTAATGACATTAAAGTTGGGAACACTCCTAATGGAGTATCACCCTTCCGATCTAGTAAGGAGATTCGTCCACTGATGAAGACGCGGTCTCATTTCGCCGTACTGCGAACCCATGCGTGCGTGCATCGGCGCATTGCTGAATGTTCTACATCGTGTTGTGACAGCCATGATGAGTGGGGGCGTCTATAGACACAGACGAAGAGAAGAAGACGTAGGAATAACAGGCCGAATTCATCATAAGCAGGTCGCGAACCACAGCTTTGCGGACTCGCCCAACTAAATGCACTCACAATAACTGACGGAGTGCTGAATCACGGGTGAGCCCCTATAGTGCTTACTGTATCCATCATGTCATGTCCAACTGTTGTGCTAACGGGGGTTGAGTCAACCTTAGGCTATACCTCCTAAATACACACGCCTGGAGTTCGGTAAGCTTGCCACGAAAGGATAACCCCCCTCCCCCAGACACACACACTCACATCTCCGTCTTGCAGACTCAAGTGCAAATACGTAGGCGAGTCTTCACAATCATAACACCTCTGATTCGGGGGCCGGTTCAGAGAAATAAAATTGGCCTCAACATTAGTCTTAAGTAACATTTCTTTTTCTTCATAACTTCACTCCGGATGTGTAACGCGTAACTTCACCATGTTTCTGTCAACTAGCTATGATAAAAAGTCAATGTTAAGACTAATGTTAAGACTAATGTTAAGACTAATTTTGTTTCTGATAACGGGCCCCAGCAGGACAGCAACCATATGATCGCCTGATCAGAGAGTTTGCTCCGCCACCTTTGATCTTACAGTGATAGGTGCGGCTTCATCGACAGACACGTGACTGCTGTGCTGCTGCTATTCGCTACGATGACAGACACACAGCACATGGTTGATGGACTCCTAAAAATCTGTCCCGGGAAGATATCACTCGCGCGGCATATTTATACTATAATATGTGTGTGCGTGCGTATATGTGTGTTTTTATATATATATATATATATATTCTATATATATTAGAGTGTATATTGCGTGAATATAATAAAAGACATTGGCGTACTTTGTGTAAAAAGAGATAATAACATTGAGGATCCCATTATAATATCGATCGTAACAGAATGTGAT